GAGGTCCATAACAAATCGAGGTCCCTTACAAAATCGAGGTCCCTAACAAATCGAGGTCCCTTATAAATCGAGGCAGCCCATGATCGAGGTAGCCCATGATCAGACTCCATGATCGGACTCCCTATGATCGGACTCCCCATGATCGGACTCCATGATCGGACCCCATGATCGAGGTCACCCTGGACAGATCTGTAAGTTATAAAAACAGGGAGGCTTCGTCCATTTCGCCATTTTTAACAACTTGGAGCTTGAGCAGAAGCGATATTTGATATATTTTCAAGGAAAAATATTGGGGTAAGTGATTCTAACTCGGATTTGGTCAATATATACGAATATATCATTATTTTCATCATTTAATTAGTGTTTTGAGATTGAAATTTGGAAAATTTTAGAAAATCTCATAGAAATGAAAATTTAAGATTTGGAGGTCGAGTTGTTATCGGATTTTATAAGTTTCGCCGGATTCCGAGATGTGGGCCCCACAGGCAAATTTTGAGCTAATTTCGATTTTTAATGAAAACGTAATATTTTCTTATGAAATTGATTACTATAATTTTTGTTGACTGTATCGAATTAATTATGACTAGATACAAATCGATCGGAGTCAGAAATTCGAGAAAAAAGCATAATACTTAGTTAAATTGGAGCAAGTCGAGATAAGTGACTTGTCTAACCTTGTGTGGGGGAAATTTTCCCTAGAATTAATATGAATGTGATTATTGAAATGTGTTGAAAGTCGTGTACACGAGGTGACGAGTGTGTACACGGGCTAAATGTAAAAGATTATATTTTAAATTGTGTAGATCGTTGTTGCGCATTTATTAAATTATTTTATCTTATTATATTCTTCATCAATGATATGAGATATATACTTCAAATTTGTTCGACCTTTTCCTACTAATTGTTTTACATGTTTAGTTGAAACTTGGTTTCTTTTATTCTGTGCATTATTTGAAGGTTGATTTTCTTTAAATTAAATATTATTAATATGAAGTATGTGACATTTTTAAACTTGATATTGAAGCAACGCAGTAAAGATTTTGAAATATTATTTTCCTAAATTATTTACTCCTGAATATATTTTTTTTTATACTCATTGTGAGGGAGCCGTGAGCTCTTTATTGTGAAAAAATATTATTGTTGAATTATTTTGGCAAGTTAAATTATTTGAGCACTTGTGGTGCAAATTGTGATATATTATGATATTGATACGCATGCGGTGGTATAAGGTATGAGTGTTGAAACGCATGCGGTGAGATAAGGGTGGCTTGATACGCGTGGCTAGTAGGGGAACTACTAGAAGTCATGCGGTGTGATAAGGGTGGCTAAAACGCGGGATGCTATTTCGGAAAAAAAAATATTTTCTTTAAATAAATTGTGAAGGCTCCCGCGGTGATATAAGGAAATGAGATATTGTGAAATTATTTATAATTTGGGACTACGAGGCGGTACCTCGGTAGTGCCCTTGTTAATATTGATTTATGGCCATGGTTGCCTTCGATTAATTGTTGTGATTTTCATAAAGTTGAAGAAAATTCTGTTTTGATTTCACGAGATATTATTTGCAATTATTTGGTGTCATTAAATGTGACATACTATTTGATTTATTTCCAGTGTCATTTTATTTCACTATATTATTAAATATTTTATCACTACATTATTATATTCCAGTAGGGCCTCACCTGACCTCGTCACTACTCTACCGAGGTTAGGCTTGGCACTTACTGGGTACCGTTGTGGTGTACTCATACTACGCTTCTGCACATCTTTTTGTGCAGATCCAGGTACATTTTACTAGCCTAGACGTTAGTGAGTTACCTGCGTACGGAGACTTCGAGGTATATTTGCCAGCGCCCGCAGACTCCGAAGTCCCCTTCTATCATTTTATGTTGCTTCCTTATATTTTATTTAGACCTTGATATATAGAGACATAGAGAATAAATTCTTAGAAGCTTGTGACTTATTTCTATCGGAATTTGGGAGTTGAAATTGTTTGAATTGTAGTTTATTTATTTCAGATATTTATTATTATTCCGCATTGTTAGGCTTACCTAGTTTTAGAGACTAGATGCCATCACGACATCCTACGGAGGGAATTTGGGGTCGTGATAATATGTATATTTTTATATAAAGTTTCTAAAATTTTATGGTACATATTAGTCGTTTATATTTTTAGTCTAGTTTTTTGCTATTATAATAATCTAATTCTTTGCCTTTACATTTTAGTTTGGTTGGTAGTTTTCTTTTGGTAAGTACAAGAATTTATTTCATGTTAAAAATAATCGATTTTTAATTGAGTAATTAAATTATTCATCACTATTTGTTTCAATTATCATCAATATATCTTGGTAAATGATAGATTTCTCAAAGATCAACTGGTTTGATAGTGTTACATTGAAACTGTAGTCTCCGGAATATGTGTTTGGTAGTGTATGTCTCATATTTAAAAAAAAATCGATAAATAACCGAAAAATCGAAAAACGACCAAAACCGATAAAAATCGAATCGATAAAAAACTTACTTAATTGGTTTGGTTTGATTTCAATATTTGAAGAACCTACTTACTTGATTTGGTTTCCTTTTGGAGAAAAACCAATCCAATCTGAATCTACCTGTAATGTATATTGGTTATACTATAAACAAACTTGTTTCTCCCAACAAGAAATTTATAGAAAGTTCTCTCTCGATTTTCTTTTTAATTTTTTGTTATATATAGGAGGGAAGGGAAGGAAAAATTGAGGAGATGATTATAAAGCGGAGAACTCATGCCAAGGTGAAAGTTCATCTCGCCAACCAATTAAACTACTAAGAATTAATCTCAATTGGTTAAAAGCACGCCAAAATGCTTTTCTAATTTTGACGTCAAACCTTTTCTTTTGTAATTAAATAAAGTTTCATAAATGCTTCGTACTATTTCCTAAAATAAGAAAAGAAAAGTGCAAAAAGATGCTCTCAATAGTTCACTGATTTTTTCTGTAAAATCGTAATACTTTACCTTTATTATTACACTTTGAATGTTGCTTTTATTGTGTTTGAGAAATTATTTTATAAGAGAATTAACTATTACCTACGCTTACATATTCGCTATAAAGTTTCCAAGCCTGTTTGTTCAAGCTGAAAAAATGAGCTTATTTTGAGAAGTGTTTTTTTGTTCAAATTTATTTTTTAATGAAAAGCAATTTGTGTTTGATTAATTAATTTGAAAAATACTTCTAAGCATCAATTAGTATTTGGCCAAGCTTTTAAAAAATATTTCTACGTGTATTTTTCTCGAAAATACTTATAAAAATAATAGTTTTTTGGAGAAACTATTTTTTTCTGTTTCTACTCAAAAATATTTTTTTTTCTTCTAAAAGCTTTGCCAAATATTTCAATTTTGAAAAGAAGGAGCTTTTCAACCAGGAGAACTTGGCCAAAAATTGAGTCTGTCGTACTTGTGCCAAATTCGCTGTACATCATTGTGAATATTACCCATTTAACAAGTAAAAACAGCACGGGCTAATCGATTTTTGGACTGGTAATTCAAAAATAGTTAGCGTTTGCAAAGTCATTGAAAAATAGTCACTATTTTGCTGCAACACGGACCGGTCCAGCATAATATACTGGAGATTGATGCACCTGTGTATGAACTTCCAGCATATTATGCTGGAACTCCAACACGCGGAAAGTTCCAACATAATATACTGGAGATTTGAGCACTTGTGTATGAACTTCCGGCATATTATGCTGGACAGTTATATTATACTAGAACTCCAGTATAATATGCTGGAGTTCCAGTATATTATACTGGAACTCCAGTATATTATGCTCCAATATATTATGCTAAAATATTTTCCGAATTTTAAACAGTATTTTAGTTCAGATTTATCTTTACATAAAAAGTGACTAAATTTCGATTACTTTTGAAATTGTGGCTATTTTTCAATTACTACCGGTAAATCTGGCTATTTTTTTAATTCTCTCCCATTTAACAACACAATTTAGGAAGCCCATCACTTCACTCTTCATATGAAACAATGCCCCTTCAATTCTTCGAAAATAACAAGATTACCACTAGTCCACTACATGTGCACTTGGCGGAAGCAATATAGTATCAAATTGTCCTTAAATCTGTCCTAACTCACAATATCGCCACCAGATTCCACCATTAACTGCCATAACTAAACAGATGATATTAGCACAACCTCTGTAAAATGAAGAATCAAAAGCCCATCTATCCCTTCCATGTAATTATAATCTTATCCATGCCCCTTTATGTCTTTTCACTCCGAATTGGACCCCACTACTCTGACCCGTGCAACCGTCCACCGGCGGACCCACGAACATTACAAACCGATCAAATGACGGTACTAATCAACGGCTACTCCGAGCACCGTATCCCACTTCTCACTTCAATCGCCGCCACTTACGCCGCCGCGTCCTCCGTCGCCGCCGTCATCATCCTCTGGAGCAACCCCTCAACTCCTTCACAAACCCTAACATCTCTCTCCCAAAACCTCTCGTCCATCTCCACCGCCGCCCCAATCTCCGTCCTCCGGCAGCCCTCCGCCAGTCTCAACCTCCGCTTCCACCCTCAAAAAACCATCACCACGCGCGCCGTACTCATCTGCGACGACGACATCGAACCCGACTCGGAATCAATAAACTTCGCCTTCCAAATCTGGAAATCCGACCCGGATCGACTAATCGGGTTTTTCGTCAGGTCCCACAACTACGACTTAACCCAAAAATCATGGATCTACACAATGGAAAGTAGCAAATACTCCATCGTGTTAACAAAATTCATGATTTTAAAAGCACAATATCTCCACCATTACACGTGCAGTAAAGAATACGAAAAGTTGAGGGCAAAAGTAGAAGAAAAGAATAATTGCGAGGATATTTTAATGAATTTTGTGGTAGCGGGAGAGGTAAAAAAGGGGCCGATTTTAGTGGGAGCGAAGAAAGTGAGGGATTGGGGAGATGCAAGAAATGAAGGTGGAGAAATGGAGGAAAGGGATGTGGGGTTGAGTAGTAGAAAAAGGGAGCACAGGAAGAGAAGAGGAGAGTGTATTGGTGAGTTTCATAGATTATTGGGGAAGATGCCATTGAGATATAGTTATGGGAAGGTCGTTGATTCAGTTGGAGAACAAGGGCTCTGTGACAAAGGTGGCAACTTGGTGTATTGTGATAGGCAAATTTTTCAATAGAAATTAAAGTTCTAACAATATTCTTTGCATAACTTATAAAGTTGGTGTTAGTGGTCTCAGCAGCATCTTGGAGGGTAAGGTTACGAACAACGTAACTTTGTCGTTCGACTCTTTCTCGGACTCCGCATATAACGGGAGGAGTTTAATGTATCAGAATGCCTTTTATAGTTTCCATATTTGTTTTCAATAATGCTTTCCAAACCGACTAATATAAATATAAAGTTTATAATTACTTTATAACATGTCACATTGAATATATAGTGCTGCTTTTATATTAATTTCGACACCAAAGAACTCGTGTACTTTTCTAGGACAGATCGAAATGTATTGATGTATTGTAGTAGCCTAGCTAATTATTGACTTATGCGTGTAGCGGCAAAGTCTGAATTTGAATTTTATGCGTTATAAATTTGGCACCGAATTCATATCTCGTTATGAAGTACATATTTAATAAATGTTTTAATATAATATATGATTTAAGCAAAAATTATTGGGTTTATCCGAACATATGGGTATTTCTCAAGTTCCGCCCCTGTATGCGTGGAGCACATCTATACCTATGAAAGAATAAAGAAATCTAAAATACTTAAAATAGTGAAGAGGAGATTTATAAATACAGGGAATGAAAAGTGAGGGATAGAGGTGTACAAACCGAACCGAAAAACCACACCAAACTAAAAAGTCAAACCAAACCGATTAAAAAATCCAATTAGGTTTGGTATTGAGTATAAAAACTCGAACCAAACCGACATATAAATATATAATTTTTGTATATACTTTTAAGATTTTATATAAAATTTTCTTTAAAAAATATATAGAAATATTGGGATTCTCTTGCGGAATATAATATTTAATAGTATATGAAGTGCTCCATATTTATTAACCTTAAATAATGGGTTGTATGATCACTTTCTCATCAAGTGTTACCAAAATGCGTCAATCTCTTTGTTCTTCTATATTCATATCATATGGTAAAATCTATTAAATTCTTATATCTTTTTTCTAATGTGAAGTGACTATTATTATTTAGGTATCATATTGATTTTTATTTTTAATTACTAAATTTGGTTAACCTTGAAAGTGCACATCAACAAAACATTATTGCCAGACGACTAAAAAAATAATATTATGTGTTACTAAGAAAATTCTCCCATAAAAATCTTTTAATAGATAATATGTTTAACAATTTTTTATATTTTTACTAAACATATATTTACCTATCAAAAATTTAACATAGTAAGATTAAAATAATATTTAAGTAACAAAAAATCCGAAAAATACAACAAAATCGAACCAATCCAAACCGATATAGTTGGTTTGGTTTGGTTTTGATAAAAAACGAACCAACCCGGTCCATGTACACCCATCGAGGGAAACGAGAGTACAGTGAATTATATTTCACACTACCTTTTCTATTGGAAATCCAGATTATGCTAATATTATTAAATATGGATAAAATGTGATGATGATATCCTATAATCTTAAACCATACTGAACCCAAGATAACTTTCCTATCCCCGTGAACTAAATAAATGTTTTTAGATACTGAAGCTTGTACTTTCTTCTCAGAATTTTGGGGTACTGGATTCTCCTTTGAAAGAGACCAAAGTGTTCCAAACAGCTCTTTTTTTAATATCAGAAACCTGACATATCATAAGGAATGTTTTCTTCCGGATTGAGGCGTAGTAGTTGTTGTTATCCCGGGATGGCTATCATTATCTCTTTAACCAAATGACCCCAGACAGTACTTGCAGACTAAGA